ACAAATTATTTCTGCCCTATGTGATATCTGGGGGTCGGTCTACATATCTTCTAGTTGATATCCCTTCTTTGGGTAATTTCCTTACTGGTCAGTACTCAGCTAAAGACTGAGGAGAATCCAGTGCTGATCTCCAGAGCTTGCTCTCTGTAGCTTTCTCCTTTCCAGTACTCTGCCCTGGGAATTCTAGCTACATTGGCCTCTCCAAATTGTGTACTCTGTCTCCTCAATTCAGTGAATCAGCCAGGTCCTCTGGGTTCCCTCCTCCCTGCTCTGCAGCCTGGAAACTCTCTCCATGCAGTAAGCTAGAACAATCAAAGGGCTCACCTGTTAGTTTCCCTTCTTGGGGATCCCTGTCTTGTACTGCCTGTTGTCTAATGTCTGAGAGCTATTGTTTCACATATTTGGTCTGGTTTTTAAATATGAAGAGAAGAAAGTTGAGAGCATTTCCATCTGTTGGCACTTATTTTCCTCAGTGAAGAGGAATATAAGAGCATCTGAAAATTTGGAATTGGGCTAGGATTTGGGAATCTGAGGTAGATTTTGAAGAGAAATTTGAAGAGAAATGGGAAAGGGAGACAGCTATGGAAAAGTAAGCAAATGGTTTTCTGAAAGGTAATGAACCAAGATTAAAAACAGGTTTCGGGGCGCCTGGGTGGCTCAGTCAGTTAAGCATCTGCCTTCAACTCAGGTCATGATCCCAGGGTCCTGGGACTGAGCTCTGCTTTGGGCTCCCTGTTTAGTGGGGGGTCTGCTTCTGCCTCAGCCCTTCCCTTCTGCTCATGCTTTCTCTCTGTCTCGCTCTCTCTCTCTCAAATAAATAAATAAAATTTTTTTTAATTAAAAAAAAATACAGGGCGCCTGGGTGGCTCAGTTGGTTAAGCAACTGCCTTTGGCTCGGGTCATGATCTTGGAGTCCCTGGATTGAGTCCCGCATCAGGCTTCCTGCTTGTCAGGGAGTCTGCTTCTCCCTCTGACCCTCCCCCCTCTCATGTGCTTTCTCTCTCTCTCATTCTCTCTCTCTCTCAAATAAATAAATAAAATCTTTTAAATAAAAAAATATATATATAACCAAAAACTTCGAAGTGAAACTCTTCATTTCTTGCCTAGTGTTTTGCCTAACACCTGACTCCATACAGCAGTCCATTTTCTGCTTAAACTGTTTTGTGAACCAAGGTTCATTGCTTCATGAGGCTGCTTATTTTAAAAAAAGGAAGAAAAAAGATTTATTTATTTTAGAGTGTGTATGCACATGTATGAGCAGAGGGAGAGGAAGAGAGAGAATCTCAAGCAGACTCTTGAGCATGGAGCCCCACACAGGGCTAGATCCCACAACCCTGAGATCATGACTTGAGCTGAAATCGAGTCGGACACCCAACCAGTTGAGCCATCCAGCACCCTGAAGCTGCTTATTCTTTTTATGGACAGGCTGATGCAGTGGGAATCTAGGAGAAAAATACAGAAGAGATTGTAATAAGTATAAAACAGGTCCCGTAGGAATGTATTTATTCGTTTGTCAGTCAGTTAATTTAGCACTTAACATGTGCCAGTTACTGGGTTAGATGCTAAGGAAGCAGAGGTGAAAGATGTGTAACTTTTGGGGCTCCCAGTTCAGATACGGTGACAAGTCTGAAAGTTGCAACAGCACTGGGAGTAATGGTGCTTGCGGTGAGGTCGGGCACAGCTCTTAGCTCCGTATATGTATACAATTATCCTAGTAACTCCCCTTTAACAAAGTTTTCGCATCTCAGACTGGTGTCTCCCGAACTGAGTTTACCAACTTCTCTTGTCCCTATTCTCAATGCCCAAATAAGTAATTAAACTTGTAAACTTATTAATTAAATAAGTAATTAAACCATTTGTTGGAGATACCACTCTTCCAGTTTTATTCCCTCCCTCCTCCAACTGCCAGGAAACTTTTGCGTTCTTTCTGGTTTTGTTTTTGTTTTGACTTAAATTCATTCTGCAAATAAGGTCTTAAACTCTGAAATTTCCCCTTTTGATCTTTGTGAATTTATTTTATTATTTAGTTTAATTCTGATGCCAAAGATTGGGATTAGGTCCCGCCTTCTGTGTTCACATGGAACCTGTACATAGTTCCATCAGTAATGTAATTCTTTATTAGTGGTTAAGAGCCTGGCTTCACCACTTTGATAACTGTATGATCTTGGGCAAATTTTATATGCTTTCTAGATCTCATTTCTTCATTTTTAGAAGGGATCTAGTCATATATCTACCTCCTGGGATAATCCAAATAATATGCTTTGTATTTAATCTTGAAAAATCCTATGAGTTTCTTTTTTTACAGAAAAACGTGGTAAACTTTGACTTGATCCTGTTAGGGTACAATGGTAGAAACTTCAAATACGAAGAATTTGAGAGGGAATTATGTAATTTATTACCATGTTTATGCCAACTAATTTTGAAAATTCTATTTTCTAGTACAAGACAAGGTAGATTTGTAATTTTAGTTATTTGGAAATGGACTAAAAATAGCACATTTGGTTTCTGTCCAATAAATGTTATATAAGCAAACCATAATTTTCGTGTGTGTGTGTGTGTGTGTGTGAGTCCTTTTGAATTATGGGCTACCATGAATTGCAGTATTCTTTACGTAAAAAGTCATCCTAGAAGAGATAACTTTTCCACCTTTGAATTTATTCAAGAAATTGACCAATGTGACTATATAAAAATAAGAAAATGTGAAGGAATGGGCGCCTGGGTGGCTCAGTTGTTAAGCATCTGCCTTCAGCTCAGGTCATGATCCCGGGGTCCTGGGATCGAGCCCTGCATCGGGCTCTCTGCTCCATGGGAAGCCTGTTTCTCCCTCTCCTGCTCCCCCTGCTTGTGTTCCCTCTCTTGCTGTGTCTCTCTCTGTCAAATAAATAAATAAAATCTTAAAAAAAAAAAAAAATATTTTTTAAAAATGTGAAGGAAGACCATAAACAAGTATTTATATTAAAGGTCAAGTGGTTAATGTCTGCACTATGTTGAGAATACATTCTGCAAATAAATGGGCAGAAGGCTAGAAATAGTCTGTGAAGGGGGGGGTATGGGAGAACCGTGTCCTGGTATATTAAAAACAAAAACTGAGGGGCGCCTGGCTGACTCAGTTGGTAGAGCATGCAACTCTCAATATTGGGGTTGTGAGTTTGAGCCTCATGTTGGGTGTAGGAATTACTTTAAAATAAAATGTTAAAAAAAAAAAAAAATACCGGGACGCCCAGGTGGCTCAGTCGGTTAAGCATCTGCCTTTGACTCAGGTCATGTTCCCTCTCTTGCTGTGTCTCTGTCAAATAAATAAAATCTTTAAGAAAAAAAAAAGTACATATAAGTCGATTGGGGCTTTCTTAGCAAAAAACTTAGGTATTTGCCATCCCCCCCTCCTCTCACCACCACTCATCACATGCTCCCCTGTCACTTTCCCTTCATAGATGGAGAGTATGAAAACGATTCTTATTTTTTCATGAGAGCCATTCACAGGTTAATTGCACACTGTCACTCCCCCATTCCTTATCCATTCTGTTTGCTGAAACAGGGAAGTCAGAGAAGACTATGTCCTGAATTTTATTTTTATTTTTTATTTTTAAAGATTTTATTTATTTGACAGAGTCACAGGAAGAGAGGGAACACAAGCAGGGGTAGTGGGAGAGGGAGAAGCAGGCTTCCCGTGGAGCAGGAGCCTGATGCGGGGCTCGATCCCAGGACCCTGGGATCATGACCTGAGCTGAAGGCAGACACTTAACGACTGAGCCACCCAGGTGCCCCTGTGTCCTGAATTTTAGGCTTCTGATAGGAGAGCAAAAAATGGCAGAGGAGAGGGAACTGTAGTGGAGCAAGAAGACAATGAGACCACACTTGGCAATGACGTGTTCTGCTTAGAAATGTCAATTCCAGAACCCACCCTTCTACTCATTCTGTTTTCTCTCTCTCTCTCTCTCATTGCCTCCCTCCCCCCCCCCCCCACACCCTTGGAGTAGTGTAGTCTGATATTTAAGCCATTCTCCTAATACTTGCAGGGAAAGGAAAGGGATTTGGAAAGAATATCAAAGAAAAATCTATTGACTCCTCAGTAGATAAAAACAATGGTGATGCTGCCATTCATTTTAGGAAGCCCATGGTTATTTTAGAAAGAAAATCTCCCAGCACCCATTTTATGAGATGCTGGAATTAAGTTACTAAACACAACACTGTTTATATGGTAGATATGGGTATGGGGTGCTGTAGCATTTATGAATGCCCATGGGAAACCAGGTTCTAAGAGTTGAGCATTTTCTAGGCCTAGCGTACAGTGCCTACTTCTGGGTGTGTTTCACTGCTTTATAACTTATATAAGCTTTGAAGGACATACCACCATTCCTCCTACCCCAAGGAAGTTAGATTATTATATGAGATGCTGAACTGTTGAGAAATTCTTTCATAGCAATAATTACTAAAAAGATACTTGTTTGGGTGGCACAGTCAGTTAAGCGTCTGACTGTTAATTTCAGCTCAGGTCATGATCTTAGGCTCATGAGATTGAGCCCCATGTCAGGCTTCACACTCAGCATGGGGTCTGCTTCAGATTCTCTCTCCCTCTGCCCCTCCCACTCATTCTCTCTCTTTCAAATTCTAAAAATCTTTTTTAAAATGATACTCGTTTGTCTTTGGTGTGGAGGAAGGTGTAGAGGATGAATTTTCTAACTAACAATTGTACTTTGATGATTTTGACTTATGGGAATAAATAGAATTTCAGGCTTCAGGGGAGATGCTTTATATGGGGTATTTGGGAACAATCTGAACTTGGGAATGTGAATCATGACAGGAGTTCCATATTGGAAACTTGACTTATGTCACCATTTAAAGATTGTATATTCCTCTTTTATGGTTTTATAACTTGTGTATTCAGTGAGAGAAGTGCTGAGCTCATTTAGACATTAGGCCTGGGAATGTCTTGAAGTCCTATGGTGAGATGCTTGTGTATTCAGATTCTTTTTTTTTTTTTTTTTTTTTTTTTTTTTAAGATTTTCTTTATTTGACAGAGAATGAGAGAGAGAGAGCACATGAGAGGGGGGAGGATCAGAGGGAGAAGCAGACTCCCTGCCGAGCAGGGAGCCCGATGTGGGACTCGATCCCGGGACTCCAGGATCATGACCTGAGCCGAAGGCAGTCACTTAACCAACTGAGCCACCCAGGTGCCCTCAGATTCTGTACATAATGTGACTCTTGAATGTTTTGTAGGTGCCTGCTACTGTCTTTTCTTATTTTCACTGACCTTTTGGAAATTGTTCTAGGTTTTTTCCCTGTATCTTAACCCCCTCCCCAGATTTTTCTTAAGTTACTATGAACATGTTAACACTTATGGATTGTTTTATTTATTTATTTATTTATTTATTTATTTATTTATTTATTTATTATTTATTTTTTTAAGATTTTATTTATTTATTCTACAGAGAGACAGACAGTGAGAACAGGAACACAAGCAAGGGGAGCGGGAGAGGGAGAAGCAGGCTTCCCGTGGAGCAGGGAGCCTGATGCGGGGCTCGATCCCAGGACCCTGGGATCATGACCTGAGCCGAAGGCAGATGCTTAACGCCTGAGCCACCCAGGCGCCCCTGTTTTATTTATTTAATTAAATGATAGCAAATGAACAAAGTTGGCACCTTATGGATGCCTCTTGGCCACAGCTATTCAGAGTTGGTACAACTTGATAATAAGCAATAATTTATCCAGGATTTTTTTTTAAGATTTCATTTTTAAGTAATCTCTACACCCAGCGTGGCACAACCCTGAGATCAGGAGTTGCCCGCTCCACCAACTGAGCCAGCCATGCATGCCCCCCCCCCGATTTTTTTTTTTTTTTTTTTTAAACCACAATACAGATGCAGGTGTTTTCTTTCCTTGAGCAGTTTCTTTGTGTGAATTTATAAATCACCTCATGTGGATTCGGGTGTCCCAGTGACTGAGAGCCAGCTGTTGGGTGTTTGAACTAAACAGCTTGCTCCCAGTTGGCTGCTTAAATCCCAGTGAGAGGTATTAGCTGCTCCAGGGAATAGAACGGGAATAGAGCATCCAGGGTGAAGATTTTCACAAGGCCTTTAGTGACCCGGTTTAAATTTATTGAGATTTTTTTGCTTTGGCTTTTTCCTATAGGTGCCAGAGTTGATCTGCTTCACATTTTCACAAATGACTCATCTTCCTGTCATATTTTCTTAGACTACAATGACTTAAGATTATCTTTGGGTTATTGTTAAACATAGTTTTTTCTACCACATGCATTGGGAATGGAATAAACAGTGGTACTCAAGCCTGCTTCTACCTCATGCTGATTGATTCCTGTGCTCCATAGAAAACTTCGTTTCTTCCTGAAAATGACATTTTAATGATTCATCGTTTTCTGTGGGAGGAAGCTTGTGACCTTCTCTTGTCTTTTTTCCTTCCAGAGGGAATCTGGAAAAATTGGAAGCAAAACATCATTTCTCTAAGAAAATTTTGGATAACAGAAGTTCCGGATAACAGGTAAAGCATATTTAAACTTCAGTCATGCTGATAATCACTGATAATCTGCAAAAGTAAACTGGGAGAGAGAAGGAGAGAGAAGTGTGCTTTGTGTCAGGGGTTGCATTAGGGATTTTATATACATCACCTCATTTCGATGATTTTTAGCAGAATTCTGGGCATAGATTTAAGAATCTCAGAATAAAACTGTCCTTCAAAATGCTGTTTTGTTTTTGTTTTTTTAAGATTTATTCATTTGACAGAGAGAGTGAGAGGGAACACAAGCAGGGGGAGTGGGAGAGGGAGAAGCAGGCTCCCCGCTGAGCAAGGAGCCCGATGCGGGACTTGATCCCAGGACCCCAGGACCATGACCTGAGCCGAAGGCAGACGCTCAACGACTGAGCCACCCAGGCGCCCCTCAAAATGCTATTTTAAATGGATTTGCCTATTGATTAGATTCAATGTCCTCACAGTTCAGTTTGGAAACATTTTTAACATCTACCATAAACAAAGTACAGCAATATATAGAATCCTGGAACCTGCTATGCTGTGCAATCCAGCTAGGGAGTGTCTTCCTAGTTCCTTCTGTCTTTTGTTTTAGTTCTTGATCATTGCCAGTTATTTGCAGCTGTATCATCTCCTTAATTCTTTTTAATACTTTGTCACCAGGTCCAAAATTTAAATTTCCTCATACAGTGCCTCTTCACAATGGAGTCCAGCCTAAGTGTCCCCATTATGTTCTTAGTGATAGTCTCACCATGACTGAACAGAATAAGCTATGCCTTGTTCTGTTTTCATATTTACATCTCACAAAGAAGTCTTATGAAATAAAAGTACACATAAAGAATCCAGTATGCTGGGTCTGAGAAATACATCTCAGATGATAGCTACAATTTTACCTTTGGGACTAGGTAACCAGACTTCCTAGGATTCTGCAGGCCCAAACAAGTGCTCATAGCCTGAGGTGAATTGTCCTACCTGAGGTAGTAGAGCGTGAGATGCTCTTTATTCTGTCATTCTAACATGAGCCTTGAAGTTAGATTTCAAGTATTCAGAAAAGTAGTTCCTAGAGATATCATCAAGAAAAAATTGTTTCAGATTTTAGTATTTGTTGATTTTCCTTTGGCATTTTTCCATTTTTGTCAGGGCAAACCAATTCAATCACCATGAGTTGGAGCTTCCTGACTCGCCTGCTAGAGGAGATCCACAACCATTCCACATTTGTGGGGAAGATCTGGCTCACTGTATTGATTGTCTTCCGGATTGTCCTTACAGCTGTAGGAGGGGAGTCCATCTATTATGATGAGCAAAGCAAATTTGTATGTAACACAGAGCAGCCAGGTTGCGAGAACGTCTGCTATGATGCCTTTGCACCCCTGTCCCATGTGCGCTTCTGGGTATTCCAGATTATCCTGGTGGCAACCCCCTCGGTGATGTACCTGGGCTATGCCATTCATAAGATTGCCAAAATGGAGCATGGCGAAGCAGACAAGAAGACAGCTCGAAGCAAACCCTATGCAATGCGTTGGAAACAGCACCGGGCTCTGGAAGAAACAGAAGAGGACCATGAAGAGGATCCCATGATGTATCCAGAAATGGAATTGGAGAGTGAAAAAGAAAATAAGGAGCAGAACCAACCTAAACCCAAGCATGATGGCCGAAGGCGGATTCGAGAGGATGGGCTTATGAAGATCTACGTGCTGCAGTTGCTGGCAAGGACCGTTTTTGAGGTGGGTTTTCTGATAGGGCAGTATTTTCTGTACGGCTTCCAAGTCCATCCATTTTATGTGTGCAGCAGACTTCCCTGCCCTCATAAAATAGACTGCTTTATTTCTAGACCCACTGAAAAAACCATCTTCCTTCTAATAATGTATGGTGTTACAGGCCTTTGCCTACTGCTTAACATTTGGGAAATGCTTCATTTAGGGTTTGGGACAATTCGAGACTCGCTGAACAGTAAAAGGAGGGAACTGGAAGATCCGGGTGCTTATAATTATCCTTTCACTTGGAATACACCATCTGCTCCCCCTGGCTATAACATTGCCGTCAAACCAGATCAAATCCAGTACACCGAACTGTCCAACGCTAAGATTGCCTACAAGCAAAACAAGGCCAACATCGCCCAGGAACAGCAGTATGGCAGCCATGAGGAGAACCTCCCAGCTGACCTGGAGACTCTGCAGCGAGAGATCAGAATGGCTCAGGAACGCCTGGATCTAGCAATCCAGGCCTACAGTCACCAAAACAACCCCCATGGACCCCGGGAAAAAAAAGCCAAAGTGGGGTCCAAAGCTGGGTCCAGCAAGAGCAGTGCTAGTAGTAAATCAGGGGATGGGAAGACCTCCGTCTGGATTTAATCTTGGCTTAAAACTTGTGCTTTTCATAGTTTATGGTAAGCAGCGGCTCACTGAATAATGACTTCCATTGAGTAAACATTTGGCTCTGGTTATCTTCAGGGATGCTGTTGGCTCATGGTCCAAGCTCAGGCGACTCTGAAAGCGGGGCTGGGACAAGGGGGAGAAAAGGGGAAAACACAGTGTTCCTGGGCACATATTCCAGCAATAATACAGTTATGGAACTTTACATTTGTGTCTTCCAGATCTGGAAAAGAACAGATATATTTAAATCATTCTTGTTGAAAAGTTTTTGTATGTACAGTATTATGGTACATTTTTTTAGTACGAGAATTTTTTTTGTATTTGTATATTGGACCACTGTAGTTATACTTTTATATTAAAGGAAAAAAAAAATCCTTAAGGTAATGCTATTACTTTTGTTCAGCAAATGCCACCCTGGGTTTAAAGTTTTAATAGATGCCACACCTCATAAAAGTGCCCCTTGTGTTGCCGGGAAGATTTAGATACCTAAGGAGCCAGGGGAGGAAGCATCAATTTTCAGTCTTGGACAGAAAGTCCTCAATAGGGGGAGGTTGAGGTTTTTTCTCCTTTACTTAAGAAATCCTTGAATCTCATTCATGTACCCAGACTTATATCCAATCTTTGAAAACCTATTTGTATTTTCAAAGGATATAAATGATTCACTGCAGGATTCCTGTGATTATCAAGCATTACCAGTATATGCCTTGATGGTGTGTATATAGTTTAAGTTCTTTCAAAAGGCTGATATACAGAGGTGCCCCCAGTCTGGTGGCAGTGCGGGGACCCTGACCAGAGTTGTGACGAAGATTCCTCTATTGCACATTAGAGCCACGCCTGGAAAACGAGCCCCACTACACCAGTGAGTTGTGAACCTTAAATCTCTACCCGGAAACCTGCCTCTCCCAGCAATGGATATTTTCTTTACATGTTAACATTAGAAATACAAAAATTCAGGGCGCCTGGGTGGCTCAGTCGTTAAGCATCTGCCTTCGGCTCAGGTCATGATCCCAGGGCCCTGGGATCGAGCCCCGAATCGGGCTCCCTGCTCAGCCAGGAGCCTGCTTCTCCCTCTCCCACTGCCCCTGCTTGTGTTCCTTCTCCTCTCTGTCAAATAAATAAATAAAATCTTTAAAAAAAAAAAGAAAAGAAAAGAAAGCAAGCCACCTCTGACTTTGAAATTCCAAAATACTACTTTTTATGTCTTAGTTTTAGAACATTAGTTCTTTATTATTTAGGAGAATCCTGGAACAGCACCCTTTGGTCATTTCTTTTTCATTTCTTTCTTTGTTCTACTCAGTAGAAAATTTAAGATGATCTTCTAGCCGTGCGTTAACCTTTATTCTGCTTTTCTTTTTTCCTTTTTTTTTTAATCTATAAATTTTAGGCTAGAGAAGCTTATTAGAATCTCTAAATATCTTAAGCAGAAAGGAAACTCAGGTGAGACTAAAAGGGAAATTTCGGAGAACAAGAGACCTGATGTGTCCTGGATGATTAGTAGACACGCATAATTTCCTTCATACCATATGTTTTATAAGGAAATTCAAGTGATTCTTCTTAGAAAACAAGCAAGATTTTAAACACCAAAGCTTAGCTAAGATGAAGAGCTATCAGTTCATTGTTGTGTCTCTAGAGCTTCAAGGAGATTTCTTAATCAAAGGACAGAAAACACACAGACACTCGCATCCATCTACACAGAGCCTGAAGGAGAACAGAGTGGCTTCACCAGCGGAAAAGCTGGGGACTCGGGAGGGACCAAGAGGGAAAGGAGTTGAGCAGAAATGCCAGGCAAAGACGTGTGGCGCCAGGAGCGTCCACTTAGTTCCTACACACAGTGCCCTTGGCGTTTCCTCTCAGCTTGTTCTGAGAATATTTTGTGTCTGGATAATTTCTTCAACATCTTAAAATATATAGAAAGATACTCTGAGTCACTTCACATGTGCACACACTTTAAAAACCTATTTTTTTATTCTCTTGCCGAAGCTTGAAGTATGACATGGAGTTCCCAACTCTCACTGCTTTCCTGGTGCATTTCTTTCAGCCTTTGAACATGGGAGTTTGCCAAAGCCATTTTCCCCTCGTGTCATGGACCTCCATTAGGAAGATGGCCCTACCAGTGTCTAGCTTAACCCATTAATGGGTCTACATTGAATCTATAAAAATATTGTTCTGGTTATTCTGGAACATGCAGGTATTAGTATAAAAAGCCTGTGATTTTTTTTCCTATCAAAGTCCTATTCCTTTGGATTGCTGCATCGACCTGCTCTGTCATGTGACGTTTACTTTTCTAAATAGTTGAGTGCTTAAGTCCTCACATACTGGAACCAGGGTATGGTCAATAGGTTTATATTTCTTTAACATAGTATTGGATTTATTCAGATGTGTGTCTTTTGCTCATCATCTGTGTTAAAATCTATTATTCAGAAGAGATTTATAAAACAGGCTTTTTTCTTAGTCAAATTGGAAGGGAGAATTAGAGAACATTTTCCCCTAAAGAAATGTTAATGTTCACTTTGTGGCTTCATCTTTGCTTTATGACTTCGTTTTTCCTGTTTCTGTATTTGCTTACTTAAAACCACAAGTGTGTTACCTCATTTGAAGTCGTTTTTCTGGGGATTTTCCTTGACTAATGTCTATAGAACTACTTTTGATAAAAATGAACTTTGCCATCTAAAATGTGTTTCACAGCCCAACAACTCTCACACGTCTGTCTTTCAGAAGGACACCTATGTCTTTAAAGAGAAAAAAATGTCATCATTTGGTACCTTAACTCTTGTCATTTCTTCATGGTGTGATAGTAGTTTTCGTGACTTTTCCAAGTTTTAGGAGCTACCTACTTCTCCAAAATGTTATGAAGTAGTTAGAGCCTCTGGTAAAAGGTATTAAAAAACCAACCATTGGTCATTTGTCTGAACTTGGAGCTCCAAGAAAAAAATAGTTGACAGAACTACACGATGGTAGTAAGATGTCCCTCAGTGCTCTCCATCACAGCAATCAGCGATGGTTTGAAACACTTGCTTTAAGCAGTTGATACCAAGAATGGACTTCAGTGTTGTTCCTGTTAGTCATACCAGTGCTTTACCCTTTCGGCTTATAAATGTCCATGCTTTATTCTTTCTGTCTCATTTAAGAGACAGTACACCTCTAAAAATAGCATCTATAGTTTATGATAAATTTTTGGCCAGCCAGCTCTCAGTAAAAGGCAAGTATGTTATACTTGAACCTACTTCAAGAAATGCCTTTTTATAAAGGAAGGGTCTTGGGCGCCTGGGTGGCTCAGTTGGTTAAGCGACTGCCTTCGGCTCAGGTCGTGATCCCGGAGTCCCGGGATCGAGTCCCGCATCGGGCTCCCTGCTCGGCAGGGAGTCTGCTTCTCCCTCTGACCCTCCTCCCTCTCATGCTCTCTGTCTCTCATTCTCTCTCTCAAATAAATAAAAAGTTAAAAAAAAAAAAAAAAAAAAAGGAAGGGTCTTTCCTGACTGAAGAAAAGTACCTGAAGTCAAAGATACAGAGTTGCTGGTCATTTTGATTGAAAGATTCCAGGTATTAGATCTATATAAAATCATGTAATCTCATGAAGAGCCTTACCACCTAAAAATAAGAAAGCCCCAACACCTATACAGAGTTTGGAAATAAAATTTCAACTCACCTATATATCCTAAATCTAATAATTCATAGTCACCATCAAATGTTAGAATCATTAGGTTGAATTGCATACTTGTTACTCATTCTGGCCACACATCATGGAGAGATTAAAAGATTTTATTTGTTGTCCCTGATGTGTTGTTTTTCATAATGTTAAGTGAGTTTGGTTCATGCACATTCTACCTTAATAATCATACTTTTTTTTAAAGATTTTATTTATTGACAGAGAGAGAGCGCAAGTGTAGGCAGAGCAGTAGGCAGAGGGAGAGGGAGAAGCAGGCTCTCCGCCGAGCAAGGAGCCCAATGTGGGGCTTGATCCCAGGACCCCGGGATCATGACCCGAGCCGAAGGCAGCCGCTCAACCGACTGAGCCACCCAGGCGCCCCAATAATCATACTTTTTAAAGAGACAGTCCATAGTATTCCAAAATCCAGGAGTCCAGACAAAAAATCTTTATTCCCATGCAAAATCTCTACAGAAATAAAAGGAGTGTTTTGCATTTCACGGTTTGCTTGTTGAACCAGCAAAGACATTTGGCTATATGCTTCCAAGATGGAAAATGTTTTTTCTTTATTGTACTCTCAATTGTGTTTTCTTTAATAAAGCTCTTACAGAAGTCTCTACCTTAGGCACCAAGTATTAGATGTGGTTAGCATACTGGTACTGAAAAATGTAGCTAGGACATCCAGTTTTTTAAGATAATTTAAATGTAAAATTCAACTGCTAACCAGCAATGTCATGTGGTGTGCAGCTTGGATGTTGTATGAACAGCTAAGGAATTGCCCATTCTAGTGCCAGAGATCACCCATTGCTAATTCTTTTTTTTTTTTTTTTTAAGATTTTATTTATTTATTTGACAGAGCGAGACAGCGAGAGCAGGAACACAAGCAGGGGGAGTGGGAGAGAGAGGAGCAGGCTTCCCGCCGAGGAGGGAGCCTGATGTGGGGCTTGATCCCAGGACCCTGGGATCATGACCTGAGCCGAAGGCAGACGCATAACAACTGAGCCACCCAGGCGCCCACCCATTGCTAATTCTGTTCTGTACATTGATGTAAAACTTAGTGGTGGGGAGAGACTGCTCAGGGCCTCGTCTCAGGAAGACTGGTCATTGCCACATACAGTTGAGAAAATTCATTTGTGGTCTGTGCATCTTTTCCCAAACTTGAAAACTCAGCTGTCAGTAAGTATCATATTGAGGATTTTACCCCATTCTTTGTGTGAAATAGTACCTGAGAGCTTAATGGTTTGTATGGAAAACCTGATATGAAAACCTCTCCTAGTACATTCACCTGTAAATTGATCTCAGTGGGAATGCAGGAGCAGGAAAATTTCCAAGTAGATGTTTGGGCTCAAAGCATGCCCTTTTTCTTTTTTCTTTTCTTTTTTTAAAGATTTTATTTATTTGACAGAGTTAGCGAGAACAGGAACACAAGCAGGGGGAGTGGGAGAGGGAGAAGCGGGCCTCCCACAGAGCAGGACCCTGGGATCATGACCCGAGCCAAAGGCAGATGCCCAATGACTGAGCCACCCAGGCGCCCCTAAAACATGCTCTTTTTCAACAGCTGAGTTACAACTCCTGGCAGTGCTGTGGCTGCATGGATGGGCATATTTCTGGCATCCTAATGTGGGAAGGGTGTGTGGCCTTGTGTAGGAGTGGGAAGGCCAAAGAAACTGGGATCACACCCTGTCTCGGGCTCCCTTTGGTTCTCAGGGCCTTTTCTCCAAGAGGAGC